GGAATGTCTTAATACTGTATTAGGTAGAATCATTTACAATATATAGATTGAATACAATAGGGTTTTAGCTAATAATAATTACATTAATACTCTAACTATATACATATCTTTACATTAAATTTGTGTATTTTGTGTACCAGGAGAGATCCAAGTAGGAAACATAAGATCACATCAAGATCAGAACCATAGATCTCTTTTCGATCTTTTTGTTGTTGTAGAATAGTATGCCTACACTTGTTTTGTGAATGATGCAATGTACAGTTTGTTACTGTTACTTGTTCTTACTGGAAACTCTCTCTTTGCCACTGTTCTATTGAGTAAGGCCGGGCTCATTGTTTAATGTTTAGACTTCTAAGGAGATTTTATTGGATTTTGTAGGTTACGAAACATCTGCAAATTTCCATAGATTTAATTGATTTCAAGTCCTGAAAACTTCACTTGTTCAAAAAGATCCTTGAATTTTGGAGGTAACTCGTTAATTCTTCCCATATCAAAACCTTCACTGAATGTATGTAGATAGTCCTGGAACAAGTTAACCAAATAATTCTTGCTAGAATAATGAATTTGCATTTTGAAAATTTTTGAACATTTTGGTAGACAACAAACTTCAGGAGGCTCTTCTACGAAATGGCAATTTAGAAATATTAGTAACAAAGTAAAAAAACTCCAAATCACAGCATGGAAACCAACAGATAGCTCTAGTCTTTTTTTTTGCAGAATTGCTTGAGAAACAAACAAACAAACAGTTTAGACAGCCATAAGAAATACCAATCATAATCTCAACTCGAAGATATATGCTTCATGTCTTCCTATACTACATAACATTTAAGTATCTGAATTTGTTTTCGCGTTTGTAAATTAGTAATTTAAGTTGTCACTTTTGTTTTGCCTGTTAGACCCAAAATTTACAAGGGCAAACTGATATCATATTGAAGCAAATTGTAGAACAATATGAATATGAAGACATCCAATAAACTACCGTAAACGGATTTGGAATTGAGGTGAGCAGAGTCGAGATTAAGATCTCTCTCCTTAATTCTTTAAACGCCCGTATTGTGCCGGTTTGATACGCTCAAGAATCCCAGGATAAAACTGCTTCATCAGGTTGTCTCGCATCACTCGAAATCAACATCTAACGAACCCTAAAAATGTATCGATTGAGAGGAGGAAGACTTGTTCTTCTAACAAGCTTTTAATGTGGAGAGGAAAGTGGAGTAATGGAAACTGATTTCACATTAAACGTGGGATGATTTTTTCGGTTACAAAAAATCCATCACCCATGATTTCTTTTTAACGCTAAAATCAATTAATGAGATATAATATTTGTTGACTTAATCAACAAAATATTTCCAAAATAAATTTGGACCAAAAGAATAATTATATGGGCCAACAACCCATTTACCAAATTCCGAAGCCCAAAAACAAAAATCGGCCCGGGTATCCCCTTTCTTTAATATACCAAAGTGTACACAAGATTTTAAACCTTGTTATGAGTTCTCCACTTTATATACAATATGATTTCCATCCAAACTTCCAATGTGGGACATTTGCATTTTTGACACTTAGTCAAATTTGCAAGACTTACAAGTTTTCTAAGATA